GAATCAGACTAATGATATCATATAGCTTACTCTCTAAACAACACTCTTCGTGTTTTAATAAAATAAATAAGATTAATAGTATGAAAGAAAAAGGAAAGACGTATGCGAATCTATAATATCAGAGATGACCCTATAAAATAATAATAATAATAAGTAATAATGAATAAATACACAAGATAAATGCGAATAAGAATCGAATAAATATGACTAGTGTGATCTTTTTGAAGGACTGTTGTTTTGTAGGCGTTGATTAGCGAGTGGACTTTGCCCGATAGTAAGAGATAGGACGGTTGTCGTTACCTCTGCCACGACGACTGATAGCGGGGTGGAATATACGAGAGAGAAGGGAGATTAGTGGTGACATTTCCTCAGATTCTTCCCACCGCCGTATCGACACAACTGCGTGAACTAGAATTTTTTTTATCGTCTTTTGTTATACCGATGATTAGAGTCAAGAGGTACAATACGCTAGCAGCAGTCATCGAATTAATAGTTGAAGTGCTAGTCTGTGCCTTGTCAGTACAGCATTGCCACCTAGAAGGACTAACACCTTCCCTCTCTGATCAATGATTGTTTTAAGGTTATGGTTAGGGATTGGTTGTTTGGCTTGTTTAGTTCACGAATGACCACCCTCAAATCTACCATAGCTAATGGCCAATCCATCCCATAAAAACACATGACCAAATATCTAAGGGCCTATCAAGCCATTTATAACGCCTCACCCATGCAAACAACACTGAACTCCCAGCTTTCATCCTTACCAGCAATTTCTAAGATCCATAGCTTAAACCAACCCTCACCGTTAACTACCTCCCCTAACGAACTATCCCTTACAGCACCTAACTCGACAAGCGGCCCCACAGTCTAGAAAGTAGAACACAGAAGGATGAAAATCCTCAGTGATAAATAACAACGAACAGGCGCGCTTGCACATCTAGGGCTAGGGGGGTCTGGGGCATGCCACCCCTAAAAATTTTGACAATGGTCGACTTCTGGAGATTGCAATCTGGTCAGTCCTTGCGTGAGAAATATTAGCGAAACAAATGTAGGAACAAAATTTTTGAATTCCAAATTTACTGAAGCACTGTCTTTCAGTGCTTCTAAATCGCGGGCGGCCACTGGGCTTACCCTAACCCTAACCTCCTAAAGCCACATCCCTAAGCACCTATCCCTTACCCTATCTCTAAGCCTATCCCTTACCGTATCTCTAAAGCGCCTAACCTTAATACCAACAATTCATAAACCAATCCCTAAGCTATCCCGACCCTACCCACTAACACCTAACCTTAAAAAC